CAACACAGTAAAAAACTAAAATAGAAAATTTTATGATCATTTTGATAAACACAAAAAACAATGACAAAATCCAACACCTATTCCTATTAAAAATCTCAGTTGAGTAGGAATAGAAGGGAGCTTCACCTAATCAAGCGCATATATGAAAAACTGACAGCTGACCATGCGTAATGTGCAAGACTGAATGCTTTCCCCTGAAAATCAGAAAAAAGGAATCTGATGTTCTACTCAACTTTGTATCAGAGGATATAGCCAGTGCAATGGGGCAAGAAAAAGAAATAACAGGCATAAAGTTCAGAAAGGGAGAAGTAAAACTATCTTTATGAGCAGATGACATGGCAGTCTATGTATAAAATTCAATGGAAGCGACAAAAAAGCTACAAAAAAAAGTCAGTTTAGCAAGGCGGCAGAATTCAATGTCAACATACAAGGAGGGAACCCCAAAACCCCAGAATTTATTTTTAAAAAACTGTATATTTATTCTTACATGTTTAAACTTCAGTCACCCTCAAAATACTCTCCGTCTGATGCATGCAATACATCAATACACCTATAGGGACTTTTCCCCCACTGCTCGAAACAGTTTCTGAATGCGATTTTGATGCCTTTTAGTGCACCTGCCATTTTTTTGTTTCACTCCTTCCACATTAGCAAAACATTTCCCTTTGAGGACTTTGTTTATCAGGGGAAACAAACAAACAAACAAACAGGTCGCCTGGAGTGAGATCAGGTGAATAGGGAGGGTGGGGCATGGGGGTCATGCCATTTTGGGTCAACAACTGCTGAACACTCAGTGCACCATGGGCAAGTGCTCTTATAAACCACGCATCATGAAATGGGCAAAGGAGCTGAAAGAGTCTTCAAAAAATTTTCACTGAAGCCAGCTGTAGCCTCTCACAACAATGCCAGCTGGTACACTGATACAGATGGGTTCCTAGAACACTCACCTAGCAGAGGTAGCCTGTATTACAAGGGACCTGCACTCCAGAATTCCAGTTTTTGGGGGGGCCCACTCCCTGTATAAAAATCAACTGTATTTATATATACTAGCAACAAACAAATTGGAAACAAATTTTAAAAGTAACAATGCCACTTTACAGCAAACTCACTGAAAACAGCTGAAAGATAGAAGCAACCATCTATGAACGAATCAACAAAATGTAGTATGTTCATATATTATTCAACCTTAAAAAAGAAGGAAATTCTGGCACATGCTACAACATGGATGAAACTTGAACACATCATAGTAAGAGAAAAAAGTGACAAAAGAATACTCTATGATTCTACATCTATGAGATACTTAGAATAGTCAAATTCACAGAGACAGAGAGTAGATCGATGGCTGCCAGGGGCTGGAGTGGAGGGAGGAATGGAGAGTTACTGTTTAGTAGGTACAGAGTTTTAGTTTTGTAAGATGGAAAAAGCTCTGAAGATGGATGGTGACCATGGTTGCACAACAATATGAATGTACCTAACAATACTGAACTATACACTTAAAAATGGTTAAAATAGTAAATTTTATGTTATGTATATTTCACCACAATTAAGGTAAATAAAATTTTTAAAAATTAAAAAAAAAAAACAGACCTGTTAACTGAAAGGTCACTGGTTCGATCCCCAGTCAGGGCACGTACCTGGATTGCGGGCCAGCTCCCTAGTTGGAGCTGTGCAAGAGGCAACCAATAGAGGTTTCTTTTGCACGTGGATGTTTCTCTCCCCTCTCTTCCTCCCTCCCTTCTCCTCTCTCTAAAAATAAATAAAATCTTTAAAAAAATCAAAAACAAATATCATAAAAATACCGTTTATAATAACACCAAAAAAAAAAAATGTTAATACTTAAGGTACATATCTAACAACAAACGTGAAAGATCTATATACTATAAACTATAAAACATTAGTGAAATTCTTAAAAATCTAAATAAATACAGAGGTTTGCAGTGTCATTGGGTCAGAAGGTTCAATGCTGCTAAGATGTCAATTCTCCCTAATTGAACTATGTATCAATGCAAACTCAATCAAAATCCCAGCAGGTTTTTCTGTAGAAATTAACAAATTGATTCTAAAATGCATATGGAAATGCAAAGAACATAGAATAATTGAAGCAATTTTGAAAAGAACAAGGTTCAAGATCTTACCCTGATTTCAAGACTTATTATAAAGCTACAGTGATCAACATAATTGGATAACGACAGATAAATAGACCAATGGAATCGAGTCCAGAATTAGATCTACACAAAGACAACTGTGACAAAGGTACAAAGGCAATTCCCTAGAGAGATAAGTCTTTTCGACAAATGGTGCTCAAACAACTTGAATCTTTACATAAAAAACTCATCTTCAATTCATACCTTGCATCATATACAAGATTACCCCAAATGGATGGGACACCTAAATGTAAAACACGTAACTATCAAAGTTGTAGAAGAAAACCACAGTGGCTTTGGGTTAGGCAAAAACTTCTTCAACATGACATTAAAAGCACAATGCATTAAAACACACACACACACACACACACACACACACACACACACGCACGCGTCTCAAAGAGACCAGTCACAAGTGCTGACAAAGTGGACAACCTAGAACTTTCATACAAAGCCAGCGAGTTTATAAAATGGTACAACCACTTTGGAAAACAGTCTGGCAATTTCTTAGAAAGTTCAATACACACCTACAATAAGATCCGACCATTCCAGTCCTAAGGATTTATCCAAGAAAAATAAAAAGCATTTGTTCAAAGACTACAACAAATGTTCATAGTTTTATTTGTAATAACCAAAAACTGAAAACAACCCACTGAAAGGTGAATGAATAAACAGACTGTGGTACATACACAATGGAATACTATTCAGCAATAAAAAGGAAAAAGCTATTAATATCTGCAATGACATGGATGAATCTCAAAATAATTACGGTGAGTGAAAAAAGCCCAGCCAAAAAAAAAAGTGCACATGCTGTATGGTTCCATGTGCATAAAATTCTTGGTAATATGAACTAATGTATGGTGACAGAAAGCAAACCAGTCTGTTACCTGGGGAAGAAGGGATGGGGAAGGAGGGGTAAGACAGAAGGATTACAAAGGGGCCTCCCAAAATTCTGGAGGTTTGCGAATATCGGGTATGCTCATTATCCTGATTGTAGTGGTGGTTTCACAGGTAGATATGTACAGTAAAACATTAGCCCTGGCTGGTGTGGCTCAATGGACTGAGTGCCAGCCTGTGAACCAAAAGGTCGCTGGTTCGATTCCCAGTCAGGGCACATGCCTGGGCTCCAGGCCAGGTCCCTGGTTGGGGGTGTGCAAGAGGCAACCAATCGATGTATCTGACACACATTGCTGTTTCTCTCCCTCCCTTTCTCTCTCTCTAAAAGTAAATAAAATCTTTAAAATATTAAGTTATGTTTTAAGTATGTTCCATTTACCAAATGTCATTATACCTCAATAAAACTATTATTAAAAACAAACAAAAAAGCACTTTGGATTCCAGAATAAAGCATAGGGAAGAGGGATAATTGTGGGCTTAGGGGCAACATCTGGGAGCACTGGCCACTCTTCCCCAACATCTTCCAGCCAGGACTCCTGGGAAGATGGGCACTAGACTGGCAAAGGGTCTGAGTCCTATGCACTCAGGACACTGTGGGGACAGGCATGGCCCACCTCACAGACAAGGAAACTGACACCCAGAGACTAACTTGCCCCAGGAGTTACATAGCTAGTAAGTAATCTACACCCAGATTTGGCAGTCTTTCTCCTCATCTTCATCAACCACAAATGCAAAAATGTTGACCTGAATAGGGTGAAGATGTGTGCTTGTGCATTTGTGTTTAGAACAAACAATTTTTCTGCACTGAAACCAGAGAGATGGAACCAGTCTGGCCATCCCAGAAGAGCTAGGCAGAGTGGACACAGCACGTGAACTTCAGGTGCATGACTGAGTGTTTGGGGTAGCAGTGAGATAGGCAGGCGGGGGATGAAGCTGACAGACAGGTTTGTGTTTGACTGAGGGGAAGGCTAACCGGCTCCTCCAGCACAGTCCCAGCAGTTGTCGGCCTAGGACGCCACCACCACTCCTCTGGTCACAATGATCTCCACCCTGCTTGCTTCAGACAAGGGTCAGGGGTCATGTGCCTCTGAGCCACACCTCCAGCTGGGGCTGAGAGGGGGCCCAGCTAAGGCCCGGAGGCAGGCAGCAATTCTGCACACCTTCCACCAAGTCCCCAAGGACAAGGGAAGCAAAAACCCAGACAGTACCAGATTAAGAGGTGAGCAGCTCCAGGAGGACCCATGGGTACAGAACCCCTGATGCCCCTGCCACCCATCTCTCCACCTCCACAGGGTGAGCCTGAGGTCTGGGCCGCAAAGGATGCCCGCAGTCCAATGGTGTAGGTACCCTGTCCTCTCCCACCCTTTTCAGGCTAAGGTCCTGACAGCCCAAAAAGAAAGCCTACCCAATAGCTCTCTGCCCTTCTGCCCACTATTCATCCTTGGCTCTGGGCCCTCAATGTTAATCAGCTGTGACAAGAAGGTGCAACAGGAGCAGGTCAGGCTCCTGCCCAAGTCACTGGCTGCCACACTCATGCCTCGGGTCATGTGAGCAACAGGGTTGCAAGATAAGGTTCTGGTAAGAGAACTGCCCCCTTCCCTCTTTGGAATGTGTTGTAAAGACTTGAGGTAACAACCTGTGCTGACTGCACCACCCCAGCTGTGGCAAGGAGGCACCACTGTCTCCACAGGTAGATGGATGACTACCTCCTCTGCAACCTCAGCCTGGAGCTACCCCTCTTCTTCTGCCCAGGGCTGGCAGCCACCCAGTCTCACCTCCAGTCTAGACTCTAAGGATATGCCCCATCACTCTAGTTGGCATATACAGTACTGCTTCGTTCGCTATTGAAAACTGCACTGCTTCCTCCTTCTCCAGGTTTAAACACAAGGGAGTGAACAAGGGCAGTTTGGAGAGCACCCCCACCTCACATACCTGCACACCCCCACCCTGCTTCCTTACCTTCTGCAGTCTTTGTGCAGACACAGCTTCGATATCCAGGCTGAGGTTGCAGAAGAGGCTCCAGCAGGACACAGCAGGCTGTCAGCGCCCTTCTGCTCTCCACTCCCCAAATCCCTACATCTTGTGTTCACTTCAGCCCTGGAGGGATCCTGGTCCTGGGTTGCCAGTCTGTGGGGTTACCACCTCCTCCGCCGCCGGCGCCTTCGGGTCCTGTGCCCCTCAGGGGGCCTCTCTCCCTCCTGGGACCCCTTCCCGTCTAGGAATGTTTCCTGGACCGCCCGCACCACCTGTCCCTCCTGCACCCCCGGCAGCCAATTTGCTTCCTGCACCCCCAGGCGCCCCTCCCCCTCAGGCCCCTGGGGCCCGACAGGCCGTGCCCTCCCTACCAACTCGAGTCTCTCTCGGCGAGCCGGGGCCTCTCCTAGAACGACCGCCTCCCGTCTGAGGTGCCTGCAGCTCTCCCAGTACTGCCCGTCCTGCTCCCCGAAACTTTCGAGCCCCTTCCCGCGCTCCCAGAAGCGGTCCTCGAATTCGGACTGCTGCCGCAGCCGGCGTGGGCTCCCCTCCCCGCGTTCCTGCACCCCGGCGCGGACCTCCCCACGTTCCTGCACTGCGGGGCTGCCTCCCCCCTTCTCCTGGTGCTGCTTGCGGGCCCGCAGCCCCTCCTCTTGCACCACAGGCCAGCTCCCCGAGCCCGTCCACAGCGGCGGGCGCCTCCAGTCCGTGCCGTCCGGCGTCCCCCACACCACCCCCAGGCTGGGCTCTTGGCCGCGGCCGCCCCGCTCCTGCACCCCCGGGCCCACCCCGCCCTCCTCCTGTACTGCCGGACCCACGCCCCCCTGCTCCTCCACGCCGAGCTTCAGCCCGCGGAGCTGCTGCGGGCCCCAGCTGAGAACCCCGACCCGGTGCGGCTGCTGCTCGGGCAGCGCGGGGCTAAGTCCGCCCCGCTCCTCCTCCGCGAACCGCTGGGGGTCCCCCGCCCGCACTGCCCAGCGCACCCGCTTGCCCCCCAGAGGCCGCGCGGTCCCGCCTCTCCAGATGGTGCTGCCCTCGCCGCTCGCTCACACCGCCCCCCACCCGGCTCCTACGACTCCGTCCCTCCGGGAAGACGGCTGCAGAGTCGCTTCCCTCCGACTCTTTAACCCACCCACTTCCCCGGCACGCCTCCCCGCCCTCTCCTCCGGCCTCGACGTCCGCCCTGTGGGCGCCGCGCCCTACGCCGGGCCCCGCAGGTGCTGCGGCCCCGCGCGCCGGCCCGCGAGCCAGGAGCGCCCGCCCTCCCGCCTGAGTTCCTGGAGCCCACCTGCGCCTGCGCTGCCGGAAGGGGGGCGGGGAGGCGGGGCCCAGTTCGCCGTCTTAAAGGGCCAGGTCCCGCTTACTCCTCCCTCTGCGCCCACTGTTAGGTCTCCTTCCTGCTCCCCCTTCGGCATTTCAACCCCTCCCTCTTCCTTCATGCTCTGCGGGCGACTTCCTGTGATGCCAAAAAAGGAAAGAGAGGTGCAGACTAAGGTAAGGCGTCCACCCTGAGAAGGTGTAGTCACTCACACCCTGTAAAGGAGCACTGAAATAGGAGTCTTGAATTCTAAGTAGCAGTTCAGCTCTGCTGACTTACCGTGGGACAGTGAAAAAAATCACTGCCACCTGGCCTCATTTGCTTCGTTTCTAAAATGAGGAGGTTGGGCCCTGGCTGGTGTGGCCCAGTGGATTGAGCGCCTGCCAGTGAATCAGTTCGATTCCCAGCCAGGGCGCATGCCTGGGTTGTGGGCCAGGTCCCTAGTTTGAGGCTTGTGACAGGCAACGGATGGATGTTTCCCTCCATTCTCTGTAAAAGTAAATAAAATCCTTAAAAGGAGGTTGGATTGCAAAATTTACAAGGTCACACTCTAGTGAGTGTTTGCAGAGAGGGATTTTAGTCCTACACTATAAACCTGGGCCCACCCCACCCTTTTCCCAAACGGCACTGAAGTGTACTTCAACAAGGGAGAGCTCTGTCAGCCTAGGTCAATGACACTTCCTGCTGAGATCACGGACAGAAAAAGCCCCTGGTGAAAATAAAAAAGGGTGGCTTTCCTCCGTCCTACATTACTCCCTCTTGGGCGCTCTTCTCCCTGTACCCCTCCAGAGGGGGAGAAAAGGTACAGCTCCTCCTCCCAGTGGTAGTGCAGCCTGCACTTTGGAGGCTGCCTTGGGCTGTGGCGTTTAGAACCCAGAAGCTTAGGGCAAGTTGACCCTGCTGCTCACTGTCTCCAAAATCAGACATCAGAGAAGTGTGTGAGGGTGGCCCTTTCTGCACTCCCACTGGCCAGATGACAGTAAGGCAATGAGAAAGCCCTGTTTCAGACACCTATGAGGAAGGGGACGGGCCTAGATTGGGTGGATTTGGGTCCGGACATCCATGATGGGGCTGGTCTGGGTGGATTTGGCTCATTGCCTTTCCCAACCTGTGAAGTGGGCCGGGGCTGGGCAACTTTCTACTAAATCATTTCTTAGCAGTGTGTTTAATAGCTACCCTTCCCCATGGAGCCGAGGTTGCTGAGCAGGATGTGAATGTACCCTGCCGGGGGCAACAGAGGGTCTAGGATAGGCAGGACCCCTGACCCCACCTATGGGCACAGTTAGGCTAAGGTCTTCCCCCTTATTGCCTGACCTCAGGGAAAAAGTCAGGGGGAAGGAGTCAGAGGGGTTCTCTCCCCAACCCCCCTCACACTGCCTCAGTAATGACAGTTGCTAAGTCTTTTGGAGCCTTCCTATGGGTAAGGCCCTGCACTTGGCATTTCTTCACATCCAACCCCCACCACAACCCAGTGAGGGATACATTATCACCCCCATTTTACAGATGGCAGAACTGAGACTCTACATGGGAAAGTAATTTGCTCAGGGTTATTCAGCTGGTAGTAGTGACTCCAAGATTCAAATCCATTTTTCTGACTCCAAAGTCTGCTCGGAACCCCTAAGACACAACAAAGCAAAGCCAAAACCAGGAGCCTCACTTTGGGAAACATCAGTTCTGACTAAATTTTTAGTAGTCAGCAGATGCAAACAACTGATTTGGAGCAAGCTTCTCTGCAGGTAAATCAAGCTCCAAATCAACAAAGCAAGGAATCAAAGTACCCCCATCCTGGTAGGTCCTGCTAGGTGATTCATTAGAGGAGCCCAGCTCTCCATTCTCCCACCTCTCTTCGTGTTACTCTCAAGAGCCAAGTGCATGCCTCTTACATCCTTAGTGTAGGGTTATCTTGAGCTTTAGGCTCACAGAAAAGAGGCCATCTGCTCTGTTCCCCAATCCTGCCTGGCCTCAGCTCCTGGACTGTCCTCACCAACCACCATATTGAGCACTGGAGCTTTGCTGAGAGACGTCTCTGAGGCTGTCTCCTTCTCTCTGCACTGTTCTGTGACGCCGGTACCACCCCTCAGGGAGCTGTCAGCGTAACGGAGGAAATGAGACAGTCTAGAAGCATAAGACCCAGAAGATTGAGGAGGTGGCTGTAGGAATAACTCCAACCCTCTAACATGCCTGTGCCAATCTCCTCCCAAATTTGGAATTCAAGGAGAGCTGCCCACAGCAGCATGACTCTGCAGGGAGAAGGGCTTGTCAGGTCTAGTTCTAAGCAGAGGCTCGTGATGGTGCCCTTAAGAATCTCCACTGTGAGGTAGTTGCACTGCGGAAAAGGCAAGGAAGGCAACTTAGGGTGGTGACTGCAGCCTGACTCATATCTGAGGCAGGTGCTCAGCCAAGAATGGTGGATGCTGCTGAGTGCTTGAGCTGAAGGTTTTTTTGTTCTGTTTTGTTTTCTAAAATAGAACTATGTTTTAAAAACTAGTGTTGCAACATATTAATGGGGGTGAACTGAATTTAATGGCTTTTGACTGGCTTATTTTTTAATGAAAGAGGACAATAGGAAATGTCAGAATGTATTTTTTGAACTTTTTATTAAAGTATAACATACATCCAGAGAAGTGCAAAAACATGCAAGTTTTACAAAATGAATATGCCCAGCACCCAAATCAACAAACAGAACCAGCATCCGAAAGTCCACTCCCCCCTACTCCAGATTTTATTGATCTTCTAACATGCTCTTTGATGGGGAGGGACAAACTTTCCTCTACCCCCAAGGTTCTTTTGGCTGGTCTAATAATCAAACAGACATGAGACACATTAGCAAGAGAAAATAACCAAATTTAATACATATGTCTGGGAACCCTGCATATATGTCAGACACCCCACATCCAGGAGAGGTTCAGAGACAGAAAGGGGGATGGATGTATATATGACATCCCGAGCTAGGAATCAGGTAGTGCACGTTAGGGGCTTCAAAGTGTCATTGCAGGATGACAAGAACAGACTGTTTAGTAAAAAGAAGTCTCTCCTGGTGTTTCTCTTGAGGCTGAAGCTGAAATTTTTTTAGCTCAGAATAATCTGCATAACTAAGGCACATCTTGGGCTGGCCAGTTCTGAACCCCCGCAGCTTCATATTAATAATTTTTTACTTTGTAACACCCCCCCTCCCTCCCACACACAGACAGAATGTAAACTCTACAAAGATGGGGATTTTTGTCTGGGAACGGACTGGCACAAGCACTAGAACAATGCCTAACACAAAGTGCGTGCCAACAGTATCTACTGAATGAATGAGAGTGCATCGCAGGGAGTAAAGGTATTCTGACATTTTTGTTTCATTGTGCATGCTACGTCTTGATGTGAAATCTATTTCTTTCTGTAGGTCATAGTCAAAAACTTCTGAAAGCCACCGCTCCAGCTTGAGAACTTGTGGAGGCCGTGATTCAGGCCAGGGCAAGGAGCGTGGGTGAAGCAGAACGATGCGCTAAGATCCATGCTTCTCAAGCTTCAACATGCGACTGAATGACCTGGGGACCTTGAAATGCAGCTTCTGATTCAGCGATTTGGGAAAGGGATGCTGAGATTTCTGCATTTCTATCTACACCGTGATTAGCAAGACCTTGGATCCAGAGATTCTCAATAGTGCTGCACGTAAGAATCACATGTGAAGCTTTTAAAATCACTGCTGCCCTATGCCTCACCCCAGAACAATTAAATTGGAATCTGGGGTGAGGTTCAGCATCTGTAGCTTTTAAAAGCTCACCAGGTGATTCCAATGTGCACTCAGAAATGGCAGGTGCTTGCTTCCCTAGGGTCCCCCAATGCATAGAAAATGCTGGAGCTGAGTTGAGAGAAGAGTGAGGTGAGGGATCAAGACTGGTATATGAGCAGACAATCTGATTTGACAAAGGGCAAAAGATTTCTTAGGAAGGTACCATTTGGCTCTTAGTGGAAGTGACAGGAGGGATCTCTGAAGGAATTCTTAGGCATGTGGCTGTTTGCTAACCGAGGTGTGTTCTCCCGGGAACAAGAACAGACTGTGCCTTCACCCTATCCAGCAAGTCAGAACTCCCCCGAGCTGCTTTGGGGGACCAGGCTCACATGCCCCCAAGCAATTCATTTCCAAAATCTTACTAGGGTATTGCAAGGCGGGGCTGCCAGCTGCTCCCACATGTATGCCTCCTCTGCCCACCGAGAGAGAAAGGGCGAACTGAGCCAAGATATTACAAACCATGGATCACCAGGGCTTTTCGGAAAAGAACGTCATAGTTCTGGGTTCTGACGCCCCCTGGCGGACACTTAGAGTTGAAGTTGGTGACCTATAAATGAAGCAGTGACTACCGGTTATTGCCTCTCCGGAGTCTAGTCAGGTACAACCATTTAAGACATGGCCT